GTCGCAGGTCTGAGCATTAACCTCGCTCCTTTTGCTCAACAATAACGGCTTTCAGAATTTTATTGTGACCCGCGATGAGAAGTGGACCTTTATAACAACCGACAGCAATCATCTCGGTGACTGAGAAGCAAGAATCCTTTTCACGATTTCTACAAATTGAAGTTGCGTCAAAGAATGGTGATGCTCGTTATAGGGCGACCTGTGACGCGGATCCCTGAATCCGAGTGGAGCGATTACGGCATCAAAGTGCAACCAGGCAATCGGCGAAGTACATCAAAAGGTTCAACATGTGCACCCGACATAGGTCATAAGTGAAGGTTTCTTCCATCTCTATGGAAGGGCGTGGCCACATGTAACACAGCGAGTGCTAAGAAGGTGCTGCAAAATCTGAAGTCGAAGCTGGCCTCACTCACAATACTTGTAAGACTTCTTTGCTACCGATTACCCTTTTCTTCCAGCACTTGTATATATTCTGTGCAAATGCTTCGTTAACCTAGCTCCGGTGGAAATTTGCCTCACCGAATCCAGCTGCTGTAGAGCAACATAGCGTTGCAGAAAGATATCACCTGCCCTACTCTGAGAAAAAACTGTAGATTGTAATGATTTTCATTCAATCCAAAAAAATAACACAATGCTGGGAAATTCCGTTGTGAATATAGAGGTCGAAAACCTGCATTATTTCACCTAATGAGTACAGTCATTATCTCCTTCAAAGGCACGGTCCGCGATAAAAGCCTAGGTGATTTTGCAGAAATGTGGAAGAAAATTCGCCAAGTGAACCATCTATGAAGAAAATGCCAAAGGGAACGTTGGAAACGCATTCGTCAGGCCTCCTCTAGCCTCAAACAACTGTAGAGGTAAAAGACCGAAAAGACCGCGCGCTGGGACAATTCCCGTCGGCTGATTCCCAGTAATGAACCCTATGACTCTACAAGAGACATTGAATGCATCCACTCCATGATACTTGCCCGGGAGCATTACTTTTGGCTGGAAGGCCGACTTTGGAGGCGGAGTCTGGAGGCGGAGTCACTGGAAAAAGGGATGTACCACTGAAGCAACTTTGCGCCTTAATCCCTTTACCGTACAACTTTCCGCCGCGAAACTGGCACAGGGTTGTCCACTCCGGACCGCACTACCTTCCCACATAACCTCTTGCATTTTCATAGGTCATCGCGGACCGCTCCTTCAATGAAAGGGCGTCTGACGGAAGCATGGCCTGGAGCGCAGCCAGAACAGATTTCCCACCACTTGTAGCAGCTCAGAATGGCATCACTGGTGGAAATAAGGCTGCGCTCCTATACCCCGCTTCACACGCCTTATCACTTGAGGGATCATGGCTGTAGATATAGTAACCTCCATTCCAGCCTTCATGAAGTGATCACTTTCCCATGCACTGGTTTCCTTTCAGAATTTATTCCAAACGTGTGTAAAAATGTGAGCGAGTGTGAAGATTAGGCCACTTGCGCTAAAGCACTATAGATCGTTTTCTTGGTTATTTTTTGTTATTCAGCGTTTTCCAGTTTCCCATGTGAGAGTGCTCCGCTTTTCGAATCCGTCTAACGACAACACTGGGATTCGCAATGTGATCTATACCGTGAACCACATTCGCATTTTCAAGGTATTCGGCAGTTCTCTAATGGAATTTTGAAACATCTTCCTTCTGTTTAGTGTATTTTGTTCCTCATTTCATCTGAGTTCGTGATTAATCAGCGGCAAAGCTAGCTGAAAAAGGAAAGACTCGATCTGAATGCAATAAGGTGCCTTCAGAAGCCTTCACGTGTTCCTACTTTACCGCCATTCGTACTCACGCCTTCCAACGGAGCAACGTGCGGCCTGTACCTACAAGTGGGCAAAGAGTACCTACTGTCAGGTACCTTTCTTAGGCATTCTCAGGTAGCAAGGTACACTCCATATCCAAGAGATGGAGAGTGTATCAAAAAGAAATATCCGACGAACAACCCATCCTACTTGTTCAGGTAAAGTACGTAGCTAGCTCACTCCATAACTGAGAGGTGCATTGTAAGTGGAAGGGGAATAGTTCACTTACCGGCGCAGATGTGAGGGGCCCACCTATTGAATGATCTGATATACCCTCGACATCCCTGAAGTGTGGTGGTCGTGACTGCGCACTTCATCTTAAAGACACATGGTACGCTCAAACACATTGAGGGTGTATGAGACTATCAGCCCCCAGCTGTCGATGTGTCGTGGTCCCCCGCCCAAAACTGCACGGGGTCAGAGTACGGGACCGTGGGAAAGTCGTAATTCTTGCTACGCCGCCCGTTTTTGCAAACTCACGTTTTTACTAACACCGTCCGCGCGGCGCGGTCGCGTGCAGCTCTCTTGGCTTTGCCAAGTCCTGTAATTGCGCTTTGGAATACAAGTACAACGCAATTTCTTTATGCGGATAACATTTAGGTGCTGCAAAATAAGAACCGAAGATGATGACGAGGGCTAGAACTCAAGAGCAACTGTGCTGCTTCTGCAACAGCCCTCGCAGGCCGCGCATTCCCAAAACATCAAAATAAAAACGGCCTAAGCGTCCCACTCGTTAGTTTGAAGTATTTCTATAGCATTAGAGCCGGATTCGAGCCGGATCGCAGAAATGCACACGCGATTTTAATTTATTGCGTTTCCTTAGTTTTTTCAATTTTGTTTTATTTACATCTACATTCGTTGTTGTTCATTTCTAGCCTTTGTCATCTTCATCACCTTCTATTCGGACTTTGAAGCATGAGCAATACCTCAAATGTTAGGAAATTGCGTTTTGCTTGTATTGTCATGTTTTATTGTCATGTTGTCCGTTTTTATTGTCATGTTCTGTGGGAATGCGCGGCCTCTGAGGGATATTGCAGAAGCTCTTGAGTTCTAGCCCTTGTCATCATCTTCGTTATTTTGCAGCACCTAAAATGTTATCCGCATAAAGAAATTGCGTTGTACTTGTATTCCAAAGCGCAATTACAGGACTTGGCAAAAAGCCAAGAGAGCTGCACGCGACCGCGCCGCGCGGATGGTGTTAGCATAAAGGGCGGTGTAGCAAGGAATTACGACTTTCCCACGGCCCCGTACTCTGACCCCGTGCAGTTTTGGGCGGGGGACCACGACACATCGACAGCTGATAGTCTCATACACCCTCAATGTGTTTGAGAGTACCATGTATCTTTAAAGGCAACGCCCGCGTTCATTTGATGTTCCTACACCCTCCTTAGATGTCGTAGCTTTGTCGACAGGGGATGTACCAATTTCGCAGCTCAAAAGTACGAGAGGATGGGGCCACCCGCTTGTGAAGAGGATGCCGCCCCGCCCACCTGGCTGCCATAACTGCTTTGGCTTAGCCTTAAAGGCACGTTCCGCGATAAACTAAGGCTAGAACCTCATAAACGTGCATGATGATCAAGCAGGCAACAGTAGAGGATATGCTGCTTTTAAAGTTGAAAAACAGCAGGCAGAACGCACGGCGCTCATGTTTTAGGCCCATTGGCGCCCGATAGGCCCATGCCGGCCTCCGATGACCGTGTCGTTGCCATTGCGCTCTCTCGCCCGTCATTTTCTGGCCTCTCTCGTCTCTTATCAGTGTCTCGCCGCCTTTTGCCATCCACAATTGATCTTGACCTCGTCCGGTGATCATGATCAATTGAAATAAAGAGGGTCTTATTGCGGGCGCTTTTTCGTGGTTCCTTCTCTTCAATAAGTCAACAGTCACAGGGCAATTCTATTTTTGAACTGTATTACCTATGAAGTGTGGTCGCGGGAATTGCCTTTAAAGGCTGAGCCCGCTTTCAAGAATAATGAGTTATGGAGCTCATATAATACGTGATCCAGTAGTGAAGAAAAAAAGCAGAAAAAAATCATGGAAAATGCCCTATATAGAACCCTATGCTGGCCAGGTGGGCGGGGCGGCCGACTCTTCACTAGCGAACGGCGCTATCCTCTCGCCTTTTTGAGATGCAAAACTAGTACATCCTCATAGGGAGGGCTATGATATCCAGAGAGGGCGCGGGAACATCAAATGAACGTGGGCGCTGCCTTTAACGTGGCGGTGTTGTGCTTTTGGTGAGATATTTTCATTTTGACACAATTGTTGTCATGTCTCTGTCCAACACTGAACAAGATGACAGTTGTCTCAAAGTGGAATACCCACGAGTAATCCATTCTGTGCCATGTTTAAATGCCACGCCTACTCCGCCTCAAGGATAAGGAGTGTAATAAGTTCGAGTGCACAACAGATAAGGGGTTGATCAAAAAATTAGCTCTCCGAATATTGAAGATGTGGTGCCTTCAAAACAAGAGCATGCTAAGGCAGTGACCCAGCTAGATAACCAATTTGGCTGCTTTCAAACTTTGCTGCAGCGTCTGCCAGCGTCTACCAACGTCTGTCAGCGTTCACCAACGTTCACCAGCGACCGGGAGTGGAAGTAGGAGGGTGGCAAACAGCTGGATTATACGTCGTGAAAATGCGGGGTGTGCAACCGCACCGTGCAACTGCTGGAGCTCAGAATAATGTAATCTTCATGTACTGTGTAGTGCAATTGTACGGTGCAGTTGCACACTCCGAATTTCACGATGCCTGATCCAGTTATTTGCTCCCTCCACTTCTCCATACTCTCTACTCCCCGTCGCTGGCGGACGCTGGCTGACCCCGGCCAGATCAATACCTATCCTTCCTCAGCCCTTGATGGCAGGCGGTGGTTGACGCTGGCATACGCTAGATCGACATCTATACTTTCCTAGTCGTTGACGCTCCGGACGCTCGGAACGCTAGTGGTCGTGGACGCCGGTAGACACGGGTTTACGCAGCCGCACAGTGTGAATGTCTTATGGAGCACAGCCTGGGTTACGCTCTTCTTCCCTACTTGGGTATCAGGGTACAGCATCGTTGTGTGAAATAAATCGGGGGTCGTACTTATCGGCTGGGGAGCGGGGTCGTATTTGATGATTGTTGGGAGAGAGGGGGGGGGGTCGTATATGTGCCTTAGAGAGAAACTTGCCGTGCCGCGTTAGGAAAAAATTTCTCCCGGTTGCTGATTTTCCGTGATATTTCCTGTTTCATGTGTACCCCACCCCCGCTCGACGGCTCGATTCGATGAGGAGGGACAGAGGGCCGGAGGGGGGGGGGTCGTACAGACTCGACTAAAATCCCCAACCAATGATGTGCCCTGCCTGTGAAAGAAAAAATGGAAAATCTAGGAAACTGGTGAATAGGTGTTGGGGAAGGGAGGGGGGTCGCACCAAGACCCTCCTTCGAGAGTAGGGGGGTCGTAGTGGCACCACCATTTTGATCATCACGATGCTGTACCCTGTTGGATATTCCTCTCAATGATGTGTTCCCGTTCCCCTTACGAATATGAAAAAGCACAAAAATGCGTTGATAAACGCTGTTTTGGTATCCTACTTACCGTTAGCCTGGAGAGCTGTACCTGGGTGCGCCGCTAGATTTGTAATCTAAAATTTACTCTCACAAGACCGAATGAGATGCTGTAAATTAGAACCGACAATTATTTTCCCTATGTTCTCAAATTGGAATAATCTCCAGCACATGCAATCCTAAAAACAAACAGTAAATGTGAATAATCGGAGAATAGTAGTGAGATTGGCAATGAGACTTTCAAAACAATCAACAAGAAGAGAAGTCTCTATGAGGAGGAAGGATAATAGAGAAATTTCAGAACAATTCTTATTCTATTAAACTTCAGGGCAGCAAAGTATAGGGACTATCGCTTTGCTCCCTGCAAGTTTAATAGAATAAGAATTGTTCCAATCTAGGTGTGCTTTTCAGGGAAATAAAAAAGATTCATCACGGT